GGCAAAAATACCGAAATATCGGTATATCGCACTTACCGTACCGTAAAATACCGGAAAATACCGAAATATTGGTATACCGTCATTTTCAGTACGGTATCATACCGTACCGGTCTATTTCGGTACGGTAACGGTAAATGTTTTCAAATACCGCGGTATACCGGTATAATACCGTACCGACTCCCTACTCAACAATTACTTTTAATTCTAATATATTGAAGAAATCCATTACAATTTTGAAGTCCAAAATTAATACTTAAGTTGGTTACAAATACAAAAATACAAAAATAAAGGTCCAATTTCTCAAACCCACTATAATCTTATAGGCTTCTACTACGCTAACCTTAAATGACTAATGAGTAATGTACAAATGTCAAGAAACAAGTCCATCTTGTTCCAAGAGCTTTCAAGTCGTGATGGTTGGGCCGCTAAGTAGCTGACGAGTGAAGATAGATACACTTATGTGGCAAGTGTATCTACATAGGGATTCAGCGAGTCGAGACACACAACTTTGTCCGAAAGTCTTATTCATTTTTTAAAAAATTATAAAAATGACTAAATACACAATATCATATTAAGAATAAATGATTTTCTATCCATGTTGTTTGAATAGTTTTATTTATTTTTGTTAGAAATCACTATTGATTTAATTATATCTATATTGTTCAAGTTATTTTAGGAGAATGTGTTACTTTTTAATATGTGGTATGTTGAACTGCTTAAATATACTAATAATAATTATTGTTCAATATTGAATTGACATCAATGATTATTAATTGTATTTCGTAACATTTTAATAATAGATTTAATATGTCGCTAGTAATAACGATTTAGTATATTTCGTTAGTCTATGATAATTTTTTGTATTGGGAGACATGCACGGTAATTTACCGATACCGTACCGTTACCGAACCGAAACTTCGGTATACCGAAATGTGGTATACCGAAACTTCGGTAAGGTAAAGGTATGCAAATTTTGCATACCGAAAGTTTTGGTATGGCAAAGGTATGAGAAAAAATATAAGGTATACCATACTGAACCACCCCTAGGTGGATGGGTCTTCATGTTGAATTATTAAGGGCATTATAGTCATTTCATCTATTGCTTATTTCCTAAAAGAGAAAGGTTGCAATTATTTTGAAACTGCCGAAAAAGGAAAGCGTTGCAATTATTTAAGAACGGAAGAAGTAAATAACTAATTTAGTAAGTTCTCTTATTATTTAACCCAATAGTGACTTGAATATTAAAATGCTCTAAGTTAGGAGCGCATTTTAGGAGCATTTTGTATTTGTAACTTTTTTTAAAAGCATTACAAAAAGGTTATGCATTATCTGTTCTTTTTTTCCTTTTGATTTTTGTAACTTTAATGTTTACGATACAAAACACTTTATATGGGCGTCGCGTTATTTCACTTCATGCCGGAGTGATATTAATGTGCACTTTATAAAAATGTTAGAAATATATAGTTCTTTTTTTCCCTCTTAGATTTGATAAGTGCACTTTATGTCAATATGAATGTGCTACATTATATTATTGCACTTCTTGCCTTAACCATTGTATTTCTTGTCCAGGGCCGGCTCTAGCGCTTTGGAGGCCTGAGGTGAAAAACGTTTAGTACCACCTCCGTATCATAATATGTGATAGGGTATGTTTTTTCCATAATTTAAAATTACGAGTTTTTAGGTACTGTAGTTGACTAGTTGTACTGTTTTCTTTTATTGAAAAAGGCTTTTGGGGTGATTTTGTTTTTCAAAAATAAAAGTTTGAAACTTATTTTAATATTAATGCAATCCAAAAAATAAAGTGTGCCACTTATTTTGACACATATTATATTAATGTGATTCATATAACACATACTCATGAAAATAAGATAAAATAGTAATTCAACATCCGCATTGTCATTGCCAACAATTTTGAGGAAGAAAAATTTGTCTATACAATCGATCAATAGAGTCGGTAAGCAATTTAATAACCACATCTCTTTTCAACTTATTGTTTCTCTTTACATATTAATGAGAAATTTTCTTTACTGGTTTACCCGTCATGATAATTCCTACATATTTAGCATATTTATAGATAATAATTAAAAAAGGAAAAAAAAGATAATAATTAATAGAAAAACCATTAACAAAAAATAAAAAAATAACAATTCCAATTGCAATTATAAAATATTACTGCGTAGTAGCTAACTAACTAAACGCCCAATTGCAATTATTTTTTAAGTTATTAACCAAAAACTTTCAAAAAATGTAATCAGTTCAATAAAAAAGGAGCATATAATGACAAAAGATAATACTCCATACGTGGCTAGTGGACAGTAAGCCTCAAATGCAGACCGCACTATCAATTCATTAAATAAGGTGAAAAAGTTTAGGTTTGGCCAAAGAGTACTTCGTCAAACTCCAGAACCAATTTCGAATAACTAAATTTAAAACTTACTCCATAATAGCTTAACTAATTTTTGTTTTTGAGGCCCCAATAAAAAAGTGAGGCCCTAGGCAAGTGCCTAGGTGAAATGGCCTCGTGGCCGGCTCTGTTCTTGTCATGTTATTGCATCAAATACAAATTACATTGCGCTCACTACTCACTGTTTTAGAATTCATTGCACACAGTCTTCAATCATCTCCAACCCAGGGTTTGTCTCTATACCTTGTGTGGTGTGCGTGCAGGCATGGAGACAACGGCGGCATAGGGTAGGCGTGCATACAAGGGCACGACCATGGTGAGTAGGCAAGGGGACAACGGTGGCGCATGAGAACGGCTGTTGGTAGGCACGCATGCAGTGGGAGGGTCGCGGTCAGCATGAATGGGAACTGATGAAAACGGTTAGCAACACAAGAGGGGGGGTGAATTGTGTGTGTGTGGAACCGTGTCAGTTTTTCGCCGAGTTCTAGTGTGGGATAAAGGGAATTGCAAAACAGTAAAGTGCACAAGAATTTAACGAGGAAAAATCCCTTGGCTCAAAGGGATTAAAAAACCTCGACCTCCCTCGGAGGAATTTTAAACAACTTCACTAAACAAGCCTTTGAAAGAGTTACAAGAGTGATTCTCCTAATCTACCCTTGAGCCTCCCCAACTCTATCCTCTCTAGGAAGAGTTATGCATCTCTACCTTGCGGGTAGAGAGCCTCTCAGCTTTGTCACAAAGCTCTCACACACACTTAACCCGAGGCAGCTACTCTAGCCAATTAAGCCTCAATATTCCAAGTACAATATGAAAGGGAAAGGAGAAACTCTATCTAGAACTCCGAGCAGGCAGTTTCAGTCGCCAAGGACTTGATCTTTTCTTGAATGATTCTTCTAAGTATTTTTCTCGGTTCAGCACACCCCTTTCTCTTTAGCTTCTTCGATTATATATAGGCTACCTTGATTTGTCCGTTGGTGTCTCTTTCACTAAGAAATTGAGCTTCCATACTTGGAACTTGCCTTGATATTATTTGAATTGCTTTCCTTTCATAATATATCTCATATCCGAGCTTATGCAGTATATAAGGCAGCCAAATTAAAATATCACAATCATATATTTAAGATGGCATATCAGTCATAGATTAAGAGAATATTTCGGCTCATTCAAAGTACGTGAGATCAATCAATATTCATTCCAAAAATATTTACTTCATAAGATGACTTTTCAAATTGTAAGGCTGCAAAGTATTTAAGCATCCTACGGTCAGTTGAAACATGAGTCATGCAAAGCCCTTTTTTTTTTATTTTTAAAAAAAACTTTCCATAAAGCATTTTAATCATTGTTGAGGTCAAACTCACTAAGATGGGTGCTTAGTCATGCATGGAAAGATATTTGAAATAACCCACGTATACTTAGATAAGCAATTAATCATGCAAGCACATTATAGCAATTAGCAAGGAGGATACTTTCCATAAAATAAGCAAAGTAATATACGTACCACTCAAATAAGCAAATCACGTATATATTTAAAAAGCACTCATATTTCTTTCCATAAAGTGACTTTCCATAAAGCATATGTAGCAATACATTTCACAAAATATTCAATCAATTATGGAAAGGTATTAATGCAGTAAAATATCATACGTTGAAAGACATGCACATGCAGACACATAACAAATTATGGGACCGAATGTTTCGTGGAACTGTTCTGTCCAGAGTTCATATTAGAACTCTCCGTAGTCGGTTCTGTCCCCCGTTCCACCTGCATGATTAGTCATCAACAAAACCACATACTCAACAAATTCCCCCTTTTTGTTGATGACAAACATTAGGTGCCATAATAAAGATATCCCTGCAGATTAGTATCAAGCATAAATAGTAGAGAAATCTACACATAAAGGGGCACCCGCTTTTTCCCCCTTTTGTCATTCAACAAAAGGAATCAAAATACTTCCCAAATCAAGACATTTAATTGTTCCCCCTTAGAAGATGCCGGAAGATCCTGCATGCTTTCTTCGCGAAAGAGATTAGTACCAGTGATACAATTTAGGAAATGAGAAGTAGAACAAATAAATTAGGAATTAATTAGACCGAGTTCCAGTCTAATTATTTCAAACCTTTCTCTTCCCAGAGGCTTGGTAAAGATATCAGCTATTTGTTTCTCGGTGTTGCAATATTCCAGCCTGATTATTCCCTTTTCCACGCAATCTCTCAGAAAATGATGTCGTATATGAATATGTTTTGTCCGAGAATGCATGACCGGGTCCTTTGATATGCTAATTGCACTTGTATTATCACACATAATTGGTGTGCATTTTAGATCAACTCCGTAGTCGCTTAACTGTTGCATGATCCACAGTGATTGAGAGCAGCATGATGCAGCAGCTACGTACTCAGCCTCCGCTGTTGAGAGTGCTATTGAGTTTTGTTTCTTAGAACTCCATGAAACTAGACATGGACCCAGGAAATGAGCAGTTCCAGACGTACTTTTTCTATGTAATAAATCACCTGCAAAGTCAGAATCTGAATATGCAATTAGTTCAAAATTCTCATTACGAGGATACCATAGGCATAAATCAGCAGTTCCTTTGAGATATTTGAGGATCCTTTTCACAGCCTTGAGGTGAGATTCTTTGGGATTGGCCTGGAACCGAGCACATAGACCTACGCTGAAAACGATGTCAGGTCTACTGGCAGTGAGGTACAGTAGAGACCCAATCATTCCTCGATACATCTTTTGGTCTATGCTCTTTCCTTGTTCATCCGCATCCAGCCTATCATTTGTTCCCATGGGTGTAGTCATGGTTTTGCCTTTACTCATTCCGTACTTCTTTAGGAGTTCCTTGAGGTACTTTTGTTGAGATATTTGAGTTCCTTTGCTTGATTGCTTGATTTGTAGGCCAAGGAAGAAATTAAGTTCCCCCATCATACTCATCTCAAATTCGGAACTCATAAGAGAAGAAAACTCATCACAAAGAGATTCGTTAGTAGCACCAAAAATAATATCATCAACATAAACTTGAACAACCAATAGGGCTTGATCTTTTATTTTTAGAAAAAGAGTTTTATCTATTTTTCCTCTTTCAAAACCATTTTCCAAAAGAAATTTAGATAGGCGTTCATACCAAGCACGAGGTGCTTGTTTGAGGCCATAAAGTGCTTTATCTAATTTGAAAACATGATTAGGAAAATCTTGATTTTCAAAGCCCGGTGGTTGTTCTACATATACCTCTTCCTTTAGATATCCATTCAAGAAGGCCGTCTTGACATCCATTTGGTGGAGGGTGAAACCCATATGAGCCGCAAATGCTATGAGCATTCGAATTGCTTCTAGTCTTGCCACCGGTGCAAATGTTTCGTTGAAGTCTATTCCTTCTTGTTGGTTATAGCCTTTGACAACAAGCCTAGCTTTGTTCCTTGTGATTTGACCATGTTCATCGAGCTTGTTCTTGAATACCCACTTGAGACCTATCACGGTCTTGTTCTTGGGTCTCGGTTCTAGATGCCACACTTTATTTCTTTCAAACTGATTTAGTTCTTCCTGCATAGCTAGAACCCAGTCAGTGTCGGAGAGAGCCACTTCATGGTTCTCCGGTTCTATAAGAGATAAATAAGAAGAGAAAGCACAAAAGTTTTTAAGTTTAGATCTAGTTGTTACTCCCTGATTTAGATCGGTGAGGAGATTATCCAGCGGATGTGATCTATGAAGCTTCCAACCCCTAGGAGCGTTGGGTTGGTCCACCAAGTTGTTGAGAGTATCTGAAATTGGTTCTACCGGTTCTACAGGTCCAGTGTCAGTGTTCTGTCCAGGTTCTTCTTCAGTTCCAGATTGTTCATTTTCATTTGTTAGAGGTGGTTCACCAGTTTGATTGTCAGTTCCTTCATCTCCTTGAGATTGTGATTTCTTGCGAGTGATCCCTAGCTCACCATCATCGGCTTGGATTGATTTTGGGGCAAGTGCTTCATCAAAGATTACATGAATGCTTTCCTCCACACATTGTGTGCGTTTGTTTAGAACTTTGTAGGCCTTGCTATGTGGGGAATATCCGAGAAAGATTGCCTCGTCACTTCTAGCATCAAATTTGCCGATGTTGTCTTTCCCATTGTTGTGGACGAAACATTTGCACCCAAAAGTTCTTAGATGACTTAAGTTGGGCTTCCTCCCCTTGAGCAGTTCGTAGGGTGTTTTCCCTAAGAGTGGACGTATCATGGCTCGATTAATGATGTAGCATGCTGTGTTTAGAGCCTCGGCCCAAAAACTCCTAGCTAGACCGCTGGAAATAAGCATAGTTCTAGTCATGTCCTCTAGAGTTCTATTCTTCCGTTCTACCACTCCGTTCTGTTGTGGGGTTCTAGGGGCAGAGAAGTTGTGGTCTATCCCTCGTTCCTTGCAGAATGCATCGAAGAGTGAGTTGTCAAACTCAGTTCCATGATCCGATCGGATCTTGATTAGTCGTAGACCTGTTTGATGCTCAATTTTCCTTACAAAAATAGCAAACTCATTAAAAGTATCTTTCTTGCTAGCAAGAAAGATAGTCCATGTAAATCTTGAAAAGTCATCAACAATAACCAGAACATATTCTTTGTTTCCTCGGCTACGGACTGACATTGGACCACACAAATCCATGTGTATTAGTTCTATGGGCTTGCTTGTGCTCACCAAATTCTTTGTTTTAAAAGATGATCGAGATTGTTTTCCGGTGGCACAAGCCGAGCAAACATGGTCAAGTGAAAATTTCATATTCGGCAGTCCAATAACTAAATCATTATTTTTAAGTTTATTTATTAATGAAAAACTAGCGTGTCCAAGCCTTTTATGCCATAGCAAAGGATCGTTATCAATAACGCTCAAACAAGTCATACTAATATTAGGCAATGAATCAAGATCTACTTTATATGTATTTTCGAGCCTCTTGCCTTCAAGTATAACTTGTTGTGATTCGTTATTAACAATGCGACAAACGTTATGATCAAAAACAACACTATTACCTCGATCACAAAATTGAGAAATACTTAGTAAATTAAATTTCAAACCCTTGACTAAAAATACATTATCAATAGCATGGCTAGGTGACTTTCCAACTTTGCCCACGGCTATGATCTCTCCTTTGCCGTTGTCTCCAAATGTCACCTTTCCACCGCTAAATGGCCGTAGTGAGAGGAATAAAGATTTGTCTCCCGTCATGTGCTTAGAACAACCACTGTCAAGGAACCAGTGATTGTTCCCCCTCACTCGGCGCTGTTCCAGGATTAAGGGTTAGCGCGTGGAACCCAGACTTGCTTGGGTTCCATTTTGTAATTGTTTGAGGAATATCTAACATGATCATAGCATCTTTCTAAAGTCTTTTGCCGAGAGTGACATTGATACCGTAGATGACCGATTTTGCCACAATGCATGCAAACCCGGTTATCATAAGTATCAACGTATTTGGGTTTCCATTTACCGTGAAAGCCTCTAGTTCTTTTGTAAAAAGTCCGGTTAGGCGTTTGTCCATAACCGTTTTTGTGCCTCTGAACCAGTCTATCGAACCAGTTTGGTCCAGTTCTAGGTGGCTGTTGATATGGTCTAGAACTGGGTTGTCCTCGGGTTCTATTATCCTTAAAGGGTTGGTTCTGAAAATTTGATTTTTGATTAGCTCGAATATCCTTTGGAACATATCCGAGACCTGCAGTCTCGTTTACTTTCTTATTGTGCTGAGAAGGACCAGTTCCAGAATGATGTCTAGACCTGGTTTTGTTCGTTGCACTATAGGATTGATATTCCGGTCTATTTTTAAAATCAGTGCACTCGGCAACAAGACGATGAAGATGATCAATTAAACAACCAACACTCGGTATTTTTGAGAGAAGCTTTTCATCATGATCAACTTGTTTGTTCATACTATCGAGCTTAAGAGAGCAAATAATTTGATCTTGTTCTAGAACCACTTCACTGTACTTAAGCCTTTCATCTATTAACTCTCCCACTTTTGTTTCAAGCCTTATTTTGGCTCTTGTGGCTTCCTCGAGTTTAGACTCAAGCTCAGTGACACGTGATTTAAGATGATCGTTTTCGGAAAGGCTTTCATTAAGCTCAATAGTCAATCTTTTGAAAATCTTCCGAGTTTTGGTTTTGGATAGAGAGTCAAACTTGGATAGAAAATTTTCAAAGTTTACCTCAAAGCTTTCTTGGTCGGATTCCTCGTCGGAGAGTGCCATAAGACATAGACCTGCATGATTGGTGTTCTTATCATTTTCCTCTTCTTCATCATCAGAAGAATCTCCCCATGCTGCCATCATGGCCTTTTTGAGATCTCTCTTGAACCCTTTGTCTTCGCTGTACCTCCGGTTGGAACTGGACTTGTTCTTGTCGCAGTTCCGGTCATTTTTCTTTTGTGAACAGTCTTTAGCCCTGTGCTCAAAGGAACCACAAACAAAACAACCTTGGTTATTAAAGGATTGAGTATTCCTTTTACCTTGTTTGGTACGGTTGTTCTTGAATTTTCGGTACATCCTCCCAAATTGTTTTGCAAACATGCTCATCTCATCATCCGATTCACTCTCGGATTCCTCTTCTTCTTCTCGAGCCTTTAGAGCTATTCCTCTTTCTCGTCTAGCACTCTCGGCATCTTGTTCCTCTTGAAGACCCAGTTCATATGTCAAGAGTGATCCGGTCAGATCTTCAAGAGTCATGGTGGATAGATCTTTTGCTTCTTCAATGGCCGTGGTTTTAGGCTTCCATACTGGGGGTAAGCTTCTCAGGATTTTTCTAACTTGATCCTCCACTGTAATATCTCTTCCAAGGGCTGAAAGCTCATTGATAATGTTAGTAAAACGTGTGATCATATCCTTAATTGACTCTTTTGGCTTCATTACGAATAATTCGTAATTACGCATGAATATGTCAATCTTAGATTTTTTCACACGTGAGGTTCCCTCATGAGTAACCTCGAGCAAGTCCCACATTTGTTTGGCAGTCTTGCATCCTAGAACTCGATTGTGTTCGGCAGGACCAAGACCACAAATTAAATATTTAAGGGCTTGGGCATTATGCTCGAGTTTCTCATAATCTTCAGAAGTATATTCAACTTTAGGTTTAGGAACAACATTACCTTCGGCGTTTCTCTTTGTGATGACATTATCACCGCTTTCAATTACATTCCAAACCTGGTAGTTATCGGCCTTGATAAAGTTCTCCATCCGACTCTTCCAAAATTGATAGTATTTGCCATTGAACAATGGTGGTCGTTGAGTCGAGTACCCTTCTTCCAATCGGTCAACCGTATTCATTCTGCCGGATCTCTTCCCGAGGTATTAGCCTCTATGTGGTGAAGACCGGCTCTGATACCAATTGATGAAAACGGTTAGCAACACAAGAGGGGGGGTGAATTGTGTGTGTGTGGAACCGTGTCAGTTTTTCGCCGAGTTCTAGTGTGGGATAAAGGGAATTGCAAAACAGTAAAGTGCACAAGAATTTAACGAGGAAAAATCCCTTGGCTCAAAGGGATTAAAAAACCTCGACCTCCCTCGGAGGAATTTTAAACAACTTCACTAAACAAGCCTTTGAAAGAGTTACAAGAGTGATTCTCCTAATCTACCCTTGAGCCTCCCCAACTCTATCCTCTCTAGGAAGAGTTATGCATCTCTACCTTGCGGGTAGAGAGCCTCTCAGCTTTGTCACAAAGCTCTCACACACACTTAACCCGAGGCAGCTACTCTAGCCAATTAAGCCTCAATATTCCAAGTACAATATGAAAGGGAAAGGAGAAACTCTATCTAGAACTCCGAGCAGGCAGTTTCAGTCGCCAAGGACTTGATCTTTTCTTGAATGATTCTTCTAAGTATTTTTCTCGGTTCAGCACACCCCTTTCTCTTTAGCTTCTTCGATTATATATAGGCTACCTTGATTTGTCCGTTGGTGTCTCTTTCCCTAAGAAATTGAGCTTCCATACTTGGAACTTGCCTTGATATTATTTGAATTGCTTTCCTTTCATAATATATCTCATATCCGAGCTTATGCAGTATATAAGGCAGCCAAATTAAAATATCACAATCATATATTTAAGATGGCATATCAGTCATAGATTAAGAGAAT